AGACGGAAAGTGAATAGTATTCAGTTTTTTGATAGATAACGGTTTAATTTTATATGTTCAAGTGGTTGAATAATTTAGAATATATTTGAATTTCACTTTTTTTATTTATATATTTCAAAGTATGAATATCAAAGTTAACCTGTCCACTTGAGTTATAAATATTTGTTTTATAAGAAAACGTTTGTTAACCTTGTTGTCATTCCGAATTGGTTCAAATAAAAAATATATAAATTCTTGATAGTGCAAGATATAAGTGTCCTTCACTACAATAAAAGGACACTTGTAATATGTATAAAATAAATAACAAGGAGTGTATCAAATGACAAAAAGGAATTCTTAAACTGTACATATTTAATAAATGTCAGCTACATAATAATAATTTGTTACTTAAAATAGAAAGAAATATTTAAATTAAATATATATATATAAATTTACTCAGAATGGACTAAAAATGAAAAGTTATATTTAATTTCCCTACTAAAATGAAAGAACATATATGTTAAGTTAATCTTGTAAAACGTTCTACACTTCCAAAATTGAATTTTTTTTCAGTGATATGTGCATGCTTTATTTGAAAAATATCCTTGTGATCTGCCGGGTCCGGATTTTTTTTTAGGAATGACTATTTTTATTAACAATTTTGTTAACCAATCGACCTCCAATGTAGCTGGGGAGAGAAGTGAGAGCTGAGCTGCTGAAAAAATGATAGGAAAAATGAGATAGGAAGAGAAGGAAGCTTCAATCCATCGACTATTCCCAGAAATATGACTCAGTATTTCCAGAAAGCACGATGAAGCAAATACCTGCATTTCATAGCGAAGAAGAATGATACGAAATGCTGGTACTACGAAGAAGATGACAAACCTAGAGCACACGTTCTTTAGATGATGCAGATTGGAAAAGATGAAGCACGAGTAGGAAGCAAATCTTGGAGACCTGCTGGAAACAGAGACTTTTGTTGGTGAAATGCTGAAGATCCAGGAGATCTGAGAAATCATAGGAAGACACTTATTAGGGGTACTCTCCATTAAGGAAGATGATGAGCGGAGAATTGAGAGAGAAAAGGAAGAAAGTAGTAGTGGAAACCAACTTATGACAAAGTGAAGTACTTGCTACCAAAAACAATATATCTGCATTGCGAAGATATACTAAAATACCTGACCTGAAGAAGGAAAGAGGTTTTAGTGGATAAGAATCCCACACTACTACGACTTCATCCGTGGTCCATATGCAATGTTCCATTTTCTCTACAAAAAACGGCTCTTAGACCGCTTATGGACAAACACTGTAATTGCTTGTAATTACACATTCTAATAACACATTTTCAAAGAATTTTCTATTTGCTATCAAGAGTGATCTAACAAAAAAATATTTTAATATATTTTTTTATATTTCTTGACCCAAATATATTCTCTTAATTTTAAAAAGGATTCAAGAAATTCTATATGTTTTACTACGTAATTCATAAATTATAGTTAACATATTATTTTGTTATCCAATTTGACACTCTTGATATATGTTGATAACAGAACCAATAATAACTGTTAATAATTTCATTATTATATTTTGTCTCTATTACATTCATATAATAAATCAATATTAATTAGACAAATACAATAAAATGATCATAATTACATATTAGATTGAAAATAAATGTTATATAATGAAATAAACATTATAAAAAGGGTTATTAATCACTATAAATAATACATGCAGGTATATAATTACAATAAGCACGATCAGTTTTAGAGGTCTTTGAAATAATATTAAGAGATTAAGTCATAAACTTATTAACACTAAGATAATATAATCTAGAATCTAAATCCTAGATAAAATAATTAATATCAATTTGATTTGAATTATGAATATGCATATAATTGCTTAAAAAGATGACATTTTTATTAAAAAATATTTATTTATTTGTTGTAAAAAATATTAATATTGTTTAAAATAAATATTTTTGAGGTATTAAGCTGTGGTCGATAGTCTTTAAATAAATATAATAATTTTTATTGCAACAATAAAATAAAATAAAAGATTTTTTACTAACTTAATATTATTTAACAATTTATTTTCAGAAATACTTTGATTAGTAGGATCATAATATTTGTGTTTTCATTATAAATTTGTTATTTTTCTATAATATAATTTTATAATATGAATAATTGTTAGAAAGAAAATTTGAATTATTAACAAATGTTTGGGCGACAAGATAATTAAAATGAATTGTAAATATTTGACAGCAAACATACTATATAATTATGTACTTTAATAGTAATCTAAAAATAACAGCATGTCCGAGAAAAGTTTATAAATTATCTTAAATGTTATGAGAATAACATTGATGAATGCCAACCAAGTGATGAGCATCGGACGAACGCAGCGTCGATTATTAAATTAATAATATTTAGCAAATATTTTAACTCGTCGAGTCAACTTTCTCCAGAATCATGGCTCTCGCTCGATTCAAGAATACTACTTGGCGTTCAAAAATCTATTTAGAAACTCAAAGGAAAAGACGTTTTCGTTGCATTTCAATACGCTCTCGTTTAATAACTGTATTAAGTATAACTAGTTTATTTTGTTGACGTAATACACTTTTGCTTAGAATAATTAATTTAGAAATTGGTTTGATTAATATTGACATTCTTTGCAGATAAGAATCTCTATATTTATTCATCGTTGACAAATGACCTTCAACTATTAAAAAACTAAATAATGTACTCAAAATTTAATTACAATTACCAAACAATGAACATATTAATATGTTTTGAACAATCGATGAAATAAACATGAAGTAATTACGAATAAATATAGAAGAAACAGCGTACAGTATAGTGCGGCTTTCATCAGTCCGGATTTACTATTGAAAATTTCTTAACTAACAAAATTTTAAGTAATCATAATACAGTTGAGTCCCTTTTTATGCTGTTTATTTCTATTTTATTAGTTCCTTTCGAACAATCGGATATTAGCGAAATCGACTGCCCGGACTGTGCGAAGTATTCTTTCCCCACCATGAAAACAGAATTATCGGCGCCTGGTCCCTCTTGCTGCGTCGTTGGAGGTATTACTGTAATTAAAATAACATATATAGATAAATAACGAAATTAAATAGTATATAGATAAAGATATCTAAAATTCAACAATTAATCATGAAATAAAATTATATAATTGATATTAATTATACTTATTAGATACTAATGAAATTTAAAGGACTATTACAGCTTTTTGATTTTTTAATACTTGGTTGATACCATAAATTATTTCTGTAGCAAAACTTTATGTTGAATGAACTTTTCTGTTAAACATTATACATTTATTGGAATATCATCTGTTTTAGATATACATGATTCTTACAAAATTAAAAATATACACGATATATAACTTTTGTGTTTTAGTAGAATTGTTATACCAATTATATAACAATTTATAATTTCGATAGTAGTTACATAATGCAGCTTTTGTGTTTAATGAAATCTGATAAAAAAAACATGTTTGCTTCTAGATGTTTAACAATATTATCAACAAGTTAATTGACATAATATATTAACTAGTATTTTATATAATTATATATTTTGAAAGATAAATTAAAACATATCTTGGAATATAAAAATGTTATAAGTAGATGAATATGAAGTGTTTATTGTGGCTTTTTTTTCGATTTAAGTATTATAAAAATCGCTTGAAACATGTTTATGTAGGTCAAAGCCATTCATGTAAAAATTCTTTGAAGTTTATGAATTCATCCAAAACGTAGATTTACATATTTATATAATATTTATCTTTTGATTCAAGTAAGTTTTCTAATTATATTAAATTTATTACATTGTAATCGTTCTTTTTACTTAATTTTAATGACTAAATTTATAAGAAAATACAATAAATACACCATTTGACATTGAATTTTTTTACGTTTGTTCCAATACTACAAATTTTATAAGCAACATTTTTATATTTTTTATCTTTAATAATATATTACTAATATTTGGTTCAAAAATAGGAAAAATATAAAATATTATTCTATTTCCTATGAATTATTAAGAGCTTTCAATGATAGCTTTTATAACATTAAAATTACAAATTTTGTAATAATGAAAAATTTAGCTATTACAACTATTAATTCCACATTTTGTTTCAGTTACAGTACTAATGGACTAATATCTACCAGTTTAGGCATGTTTTTTCTTATAAACTCGTTACAATTTATAAATCTAGACGGTGGTATCTGAGTCCTCCCAATAAGTATTAATAGGTTAATGGTCTTTTTTCTTATAATTTAATTAAGTTACACTCTTTTTCATTTCCCATTAGTATTACTTAACAGATATATGAACAGAAGCAACATTCGGTATTTAGAAATAAGATCAGGGAAAGAAGTTTGCTCTAACATCTTATATAACAAAAACTGTATAAGGACGATTGAAGTTATTTTCATAGCTCTAAAGAAGGTATATTATTGATTATCGCTATGTACCGATAATTTTAGAAAAAGTGGTTTTCGTTTTTTTTGAATAAATTAATTCCCAAATCTGGAATTTCTATAAAACAAAACAAAAAAGAATTAATCACTATACCAAGAAACTCAATAATTTGTCATGAGATGTGAAGGTGCTGATGAAAATGAAGGAGTTCTATGAAAATTGCAAAACCACTTGAAATGGAAGTTCTAGGTTGTAGCCGTTTTCTAATTGCACAAAGAGGATATCAGATTGTTTCGGTGAAGGCCCGAAGCGATAAATCTTCATATTTCCTCGTGGTAATTCCGTTTTGCTATACATAGGTATTTGCTTCTTCTATTATATTTTTTTTTGTTCAATACTTGGATTTCGTTTTCTTCGTATCGTCTTGACCCACATAACGAACGGAACGAAACTCCGCGTTCTCCAATGAAAGTGTCGGTCCTCATGCGTTATGTGAGTGTGTGTATCTGCAGATAGATACACTCTATGTACTTATTGTACGTATGAATGTTTGTTGATATTGCATTTGGACTTTCCTTGGCTCGGTCTGGTTAGTTGTAGCAGCTTCAACCACTACTGCTTGTAGCCTCTTGGATTGGTAGTGGACCTCCGCTTGGTCAGTGCGATGATTCGACGCGTGACGCAAACACTATCAGTTTCTTCGCTCTAACAAAACCATAGAACGACTATTCTCCTAACTTTAGTAGAAGAAAGGACACGAACTGTTCCACCACGTCCAACATTAGAACGCGTTTTCGGGTCTCCAATAAATTAATACATTTAGTTTCATACAGGAAGACGCGATGGATTTATCAACTTGTACCAAAATCTTTGCAGTTTTGGCAATTTACATCTGCATAACTGGTGCCGTTGTCAAAACCAACAATAACCAAGGTGAGATTTCAATTTTTATATATAATTTATTGATTATTATAAACTAATAATCAATATTTTAATTTTTAATTATTTAAAATTAATTAAATAGTAATAAATAATTTTCAAATCTTAATTATTGTAATAAATAATTATTAAGATTATTAGGCAATATTATAGGAATTGTAAGATTTTCAAATAACAATACTAATTTAATGACTATGATTAAATCATAATAATACATCCAACATTTTTTATATGAATTAATTTAATTTATTAAAGTCTACATAAGTCATTATTAATTAATTGTTATAATATTCAATTATTTTAATATCTTAATTAATTCTCGTGTCCTGGGTTGGAATACCTGTGGACACTATAAAATAAGTTGTAGTTTTGTCAATGTCCTATTGGGTTTTTATGAAATATTCCAGATAAAATCAAATTTATTTAAAACTTAGATGACTCTTTAAGAGTAATAATAGAACTAACTTATAATAAGAAAAGTGTCGCCTTAAATGCACAAAGAGGCGGTCCGAATACGGAAGAAAATTCAGAGGTAGGAACTGATTTGCGTCTCGGAATTATGTACACTTATAAACTACTGTGGGAGAGGATGATCACCAAGGTCATCCTCCTAAAATTAACTGTTGTATCGATTTATGTGACTTCTTTATGATTAGGGTGGTAAAAAATAGATACAAACAGAAGTGTCCTTGTTTGTGGATCAAAACAACCCAATACTTGAATCGTACTTAATTTTTTTTTACAAATTTAATTTTAATTTAAATTATCTAAAAATTAAATGTAATTTCATCATTATTTTAATATCTTATTTATAAAAAAAAGGACTATTGGAATAAAAATATGTCTAACCTAAATACGTGTATTTAACCCGTTGGTTAATCATTAAACAGAATTATGTTAATCGTATCAAAAAACCGGGATTTTTTTTAAATAAATTATGCAAGTGAAGATGTGGCCAAAATTGAGGCCTCGGGCTGCATCTGATGCTAATATCCTGCGCGTTGCATAAGATGTACTCGAATATATTAATTTATTATGGGTAGAATTCACAAATATACAAACATTTTAGAATTCTTGAAGGTCGGATGAATGGATGGATGATGACTTGGGTTCTCTGGCCTTTTCGTGGTTTGCTTCAGAGCAATCTCGTTGCAAAGAATGTGTGCAGCCTATTAGGTCATTATTAGTCGTTCGAAGGTCATCACTTTTTATTTTTTCGAACATAAGCAGAGTGAATCCTATTTCTATTCGAATAACGGATAGAGAAAAAAAACCTGTTATGCAAGATTTACTTGTTAGAGATAACAAGAATAGAAAAAAAAGCGTATAAATCTATTTATCTTGTTGATGGTGATGATTTCCATACATTATTTATATAAAACTAGTGTTTTCCATATGCTTGAAACTGCATACTTTTATTTACTGTTATATAATTCATATTTGTTAATGGAAAGAAATAATGAACGAAGAAGTGTTATTAATGACAATAATATTTGCCTTTGCAAACGTAGCATCTGGGAGGTAGTAGAAAATATTATTTATTGTTATTACTTGTCATTTGCTTTAACGTAATTATAATTCATTCTGACTCTGCAAATGTTTCAATAAGTATGTAATTTAATTACGTAACGTACCTTGATGATATAAATACATCCCCTTATATTCATAAATTGTCGCAATTTTGTTTCTGGTCCATATGCATCAAAGTGATATTTACCATTGTTTGTCTGTCCCAAGGTGTCTCAGAATATCATTTGTATAAGAAATAACAAATAAAAAAAGCATAAATATTCTATATAGAAAAACAAATCAGCATTTTTACTTTCAAACCTTAAAAAATGAGGACTATCTAAATAAAGTAATTTAAGTAATTGGAATTAAGAATAAAGTTTATGAATAGAGCAATTAAGCTAAATGGTTTAAAAATAAAATAATGTTTTTTGTACATAATTACAAGATTATTTCCATTTAATAAATTACTTATTATCACGACTTTCTGAATAAAAAAAATTATAGAGATGCTAAATAACACTGCAAGGTTAACATTAATATTTGAATGGGATTCTGCTTAATGTATGTATGTAGAAAAAAAAAGATTATACACATCCTTTAAAAATTGCCAAATAAATCAAAACTGGTGATTTTTATTTACATACATGTTTTAAACTCCTTTTTTCGTGAAACGTATAACAATTTAATAATTTACAAATACAGTTTAAATGATGTATCATAATTATGTGTGAAGTCCTTGCAGTGGTGATGATTTATGTGAATCCTTTAAAGAATAATTGGTACATGGTAAATACTAACGATAATTTATAGGATTACAAACTATAGATGCGTAATGTTTAAGTAAGAAAATCGTGACTTTCTTGGCAATGATTTTATGAATATTGTTTAAATAATAATCTAATATATTTACTTCAGTTAAAAGTATAATCATAATTAGAATTACTGAAATATACATTGTTTATATATTAATTGTATATATATTTGTTAGGAGGTTTTCTTTCCTAACATCGATGTTTCAATATTTTGTACAATTTACAAATAATTGGTATTAAGACTTGTAAATTCAGGACCGCAGCAAGGAAATCTTTTAACTGGAGCCCAAGTATTTCATTTGCGTCCGTCACATCAAGAAAACAATATAATTACCTCATCTCCTTTCTGCGGTGCTGTGTAATTCGTACATATTCTTAAGCTATTCCTATATTAATTGTATATTCTAAGAAATTACTATGGAAGAGGTCGTATAACCGGGGTAAATCATCCCAAATGAGATATCATTGAATTATTGGGGAAATGAATTCAAATTGTATGTATCAATGAAAAATATATTGGAGATTATATCAGGTTTCGATCAGTATGGTTTCACTATAGTGAGTTTTAAAAATTTTAAGTGAGCAAAATAAAAATAAACCCTGATATTTGAGATATTATATTTGTCACATATTTTTCATCATTGAAGAAACTTGTATAAACTTATAATATGTTTTTGTAAAATAATTTTGTATGAAAATAACTTTCGTTACATAATTAGAATGTAGTTTATTTAATTATAAAAAAAAAATGGTAATAAATATGATACTTCCATTCACCGCAATAAAAATAAATAGACTTTTCATAGAAAAAAATATCACTGACAATAAAGAATAATAACGCACGAATGACGAACGAAAACCAGTTTTGAAAAGTAAAATTAATAATTTAGTTTACGTCCTGCTGAATCGAGTAGTTGTGGGTGTTGAAATTCCATGGACATGATCCGTCTGCAAAAGCACATAAAACAATATATCCTTGCTTTTACGCAACAATAAAAAGAAACGCAACGAAGGGCAGTATTAAATATGTATTTATTGTTTTCCAAGATGTTGTTTACGTTCGTAATTTGAAAACGATTAAACGAAGTCGAATCTTAGTCTAAATTCTTTTGCACGAGATCCGACCTTAACCCACTAGAGATTTAGTCATGGCCCAGAATACCAGACGCGAATCCAGTACTGAGTAAATCAAAACAAGTGTATATAAAAACGAAGCTGGAAGTATTATGTGCGTGTCTGTCGTCTTGAGTTACGTAATCAAATTTCAATAATTGCCTCTTATTAATTATTGAATTATAATTATGCGATTACATGATCGGATAGAAGTAGAGGAAAAATATATGGTATAACTGTTAGGATCTACGCTTTATGTGATTTAATGAATAATGGAGTAAAAAGTGTAATATTTACATAAATTGTTAGACAGTGTAATAATCAAAATGTTGATTAATAATTGATACATAACTCAAGGTTCTGTTGGTTATTGACCGTCCTTCTAAAATAATAACATGACTAGATTTAAAAAATAATGTATTATGTGTCAAAAAAACAAATTTTATAAATGTATATAGATTATCTTTGAAATAATGATTTGAGAAGATTTAAATTTGTTTATTTGAAATTTCAATTTGTAGAAAAAACTGAAAATTTAGATTTAATTAATGTAAATACCTCGCATAGGAAACTGAACTAATTGAGAAACCAAGTTATTACATAACTCAAGGTTCGATTATTGACCGTCCTTAGAAAATAATAATTTAAAAAAAAATGTAATATATGTCAATTTTTTTATGAACTTTGAAATAAAGATTAGAGATTTTAATGATTGAATTTTGTATAATTTGAAATACAATTTGTGGAAAATACAGATAACCTCGCATAGGAAACCGGACTAATTGAGAAACCAAATACATCTATCTCTAGTTTTACATGGTTATTTTTTTACATGTTTTTGCTTTTACACGATAAAAAAAGTAAAAAACAACTTTTGAACACGCTATTATCTATACACGGTTTCAGTTAACACGGTTCAAAAGAAATAAATGATGAAAACCTATTTTATGCTTTTTTGCATGTCCTATCTACCTTATAAATCGGTGGACATCAAATGTATATAAAAATGTATGAAATACAGTAAAAATAAACATAAAATATTCAAATATTTTTAATGTAGTCATTAAATTAAATAAATTTTGTAAATTTCATTTGTTAATGTAAAAAAAAAGAAAATAAATATCATTATAAAATTATTTAATTTCATTGAAAAAGTTAATATTTTACAAACTTATTAAATGATTATACTAAAATTAATCATATATATATATAACTAGTTTACAGATAATACTCATAAATTATTCAGAAAGAAATTGTAGGAAATGTGCTTAACAAACTAAACTTAATTAAAATTAAATAATTAATATTTTGATTAGTATGTTTATTATTATCTTAACATACCACTAGAATTCATTAATTATCTCTAAGTGATTGTAAAAAAAGCTTAGTTAAACAAAATATATACAATTAAAATTAATGCAATTAATTAATTATGTTGCATTGAAACTTTCTATATAATAATGCTGAAAAATATTTTATTTATTTTGTAATACGCGCATACTATGATAGTAGTTAAATGCTTCATATCTTTTTTTTTAATTGAATACCGTATATTAC